AAAAAAAAAAAAAATGTGTAACATTCTATCATAGCTGATAACATTGAAAGTGTTCTGTCGGTTCCTCAGTTTCAACTTCATGCTTTGGCTGTTGGCATTGTTAATTTTATAGAATGTTGAGATAATCAGCTATCCCTCAATTATTCACACCTCCTTTAAGGGCTTCTGATTTTGCCAGTCTTCTAGTATTGTTTCAAGCATCTTACACATATCTACGTTAAAAGAATTGGAATTTCTTTAAATTGTGCTTAATAGATAAGCCTACTTTTTATTAATGTTACTGCCCTCTGTTGGATATCCTGTCATTCTTACTTGGCTCACTTATCAGAGTTTGGCAGCTGCTGAGTAGAAAGGGTGAGAACTCTGTCCTTAAGGCAGATTGAGGACTGTAGCTTTGTCTTTGCAGAGATGAAACTACTTAGTGCATAAAGACTGTATTGTTTTGAGGGTGGAGTAATATGCTGTTCCTCACCTGGTTTGAGTGCATGAATGCTGTGACATGAAGACTGAAGACAAATTCTATGCACGTGCTGTGTATTTGCCTTTGCTCATTCATTTCCAGCCTTTTTAGCCCAGTGGGTGTCAGTCTCTGAAGCTTGCCTTCATTCATCCCATTTCATACTGTCGGGAAGTAAAAGCAAACATTATAAACCAGCAGAGAGCAACTAGGAAGGAAGTTACCTAGAGTTTCCTTGTGTTTGCCTTATAATTGATTAGGATGGGCTGCATTAAAAATTGTTCAGAAAACATCTTTCAGAAACTTCCTAGGAATGTCACATTTACAAATGTCAGGTACAAGTTCATGTATCCTGTCTCATGTGATCATGCCTCTGCAGTTCTACTGTTGCTGTTCTAAAAATGTAGATTTGCTTTATATGTGTCCTCTAATGTCTCTATTTGCAATCTACAGCTCAATGTTATTTACAACACAAAACACACTGATCGAAGTCTCAGATCTGTCCAAAAACAGAAAGCTTTTGACTTGAATGTTGATGTAAAGGATGATAAAGATGATATGAACCATTTGACCTTGAATGTGTGCACAAGGTAGGTAATTCTGTTGGAGCATGTCATGTTACTTAAAATGAGGTGAATTTTTCTTTTGTTTGTATGAACTTACTAGTGTATGGGAAATAAAAATGCAGTTAAGGAGAGAGTAAAAGAATTACTTCACTGAAATGACAAAGTTAAACTAAGAAACAATTCGTAAGTCAGTAAATACAGTGAGAGTTTGATGGGTCTGAATAGATCCCTCGTGCAGAATAATCTGTGGTCTGATCTTACATGCTTTTTTAGTGTCATGCACAAACATCATGCTTCCCTAAATGTCAGAGTTATATGGAGGAGTTTGTGTGAAATACAAGTAAAGGCTTGAAAGCTTCTTTGGTGCAAATACTTCTTAGGTATATGGAAAACCATGGATAGACTTGAACGCTGAACCTGTATCTTCCACATTCTAGTACCAGGCTATGAGAATTGTGCTGTAACTTTCATCTTTTGTGAACAGACTGCTTTGCTTTTGATATAGAAGTAGACACCTCCTTTTTGTAAAAGGAGAAACAAGTCTCTGAAGTGCTGAAAACATAATGAAATAGAAGTACTCATTTTTTATTCATCTCTGTTAATAAACTTTATAATGATAATGATAAGTTCAACTGGATTTTTTGTCTTTGCAAGTATTTTTTGTGCTCTTTCATTTACCCATGTACTGTATTTTTGTGATTCTAGTATTACAGTATAATGTAAGCAATATTCTAGAGGTTATGAGGTTAAGAGGTTATGAGTTTTGTGTTCAAGCTAATTTTATTCTTTCTCCTAAATAAGGGAGGGTGGTAGAGGTGGGAACACCTGTGATTATGTTTCTTGCTCAGTAAACATACAGTAAGAACTGAACAGAGATTGCTGAAGTATCATCTCAAGACACATCTCAAGACAAAACAACTGTATAGATATTACATTGGTAGCAAGTGATAGAGCTGAGAACATACTGCAAATTTCTAGGTCATTAAACAGTTTATTTCTTTAACTGCTTTGTTGTCTCATCTCTGTTTGCTTTGAAATTGTCTACATGTGTATCTAAACCAAACATATGAAACTGTTCTTATGCAGTTTCCTTAGTAGTCCTGTCTTATGTCCTATTAAAGAGCACTGAGTATTTCACAAAAAACCTTCGGTGTCTTGCTTTATATATGGATTTAGATTTTTTTGTCTTTTTACTTATTATCTACTAGCATTTTGACATAAGAGCTCTCTTTGTATTAAAGGATCTCATCTCATCTGCTCTTTGTCAGTACTACTTCTTAAAATCCTGTTTACTTCTTGGGATATTATAATGAGTTCCTTGTAGATGTGGTATTTGCAAAGTACTATCTGATCCACCATGTTCAGTCTTGCTTTTCTTTCCTTTATATCCTCTTTTTATTATTTATTTAAACTGTGAACTCATTATGGCTAGAATATTTTTGTGGTCTGCTTAGGCTAGCTGTGACTGAAGATGAGGCCTCTAGGTGACACCATCATACAAATTATCAGCTATAGTGAATATGATGACAGTATGGAGATATCCAGGAGGCACAAAGCCAGATCCTGTTTTCATGTGTTTCCGGTAAGAAATTCAGTGATGCAGATAGTGAGCAGGGACACTAGAATACACAAGAACTCTTGAAACAGTGAGCTTTTTCTCATTTAAAGTTTTCTGTGAAGTGTCAACAGCTTTTTTAAGTCCAGCACCAACTTCTGACATGTTAAGGGCTTACATAATGGTTCTAGGCTAAACTTTGGCTGAGCATCCTGAATTTCTAGCTCAGTGATTTGACTCAGGAATATAGACGGAAAGGGATTCATCTCTCTGGGAAGGCTCTAGGCTGATGTCTTAATTGCAAAGTGTTCAAAGAATATGAGAACATATCCTTTATGTTACAATGATGTAAAATTATTTCAAGAAAATACTTGAAATGTTAAGACTCATCAGCTCTATCATGAAAAGTGGAACAGAATGTTTTCTGTTTTTATTATTTAAATTGAGACTTGATCTCTGGTTGCCTGTCATTGATTCTCTTGTCATCTTCTTCCCTCCCAAGTTCATGCATTGTACAGAGTATACGTATTACTTATATTAATTCCTGAATTAGTTTACAGCTAGTCCGTTTACTGTCTTTACAATGTGACATGGCTTTTTGGTAGCAAGCCAAAGCAGGTAAATACAAACACTGCTGAAATCTCAACTGATTGACCTATCTGTCAGTATGCAGAGTCAGGTAATGGAGGCCAGCTTGACTGTGGTTTTCTCACTCTAACCTGCAGACTATTCTACCTCGTCTAAACCAGCTTTATAGTGATTGGCTATGGTCATCTCAATTGAGTGTCAATTCTGACCCTGGATCAGATGATGCCTCATTTGTGGTTAGAGGAACTTGCTCTCTGTCTGGGAGGCACATATGCAGGGTTGCTGTTTTCTTCTCCAGTTGGTCTTATCATCTGCACGCTATTTTCAGACACGCAATGCTGATCATTGATGGTTCTACTCACTATTCTTTCTGCTTTTTACTACACTAACTGGTGTTCTTTTCTCCTCTTTTCACCTTTCATAACAAAATAATCTCAGTTCTTCTGAGTTACAAGTTTCAAGTAGTTTTTAATTTCTCTCACTGGTCATTCTTCTCTTTTCGTGGTATTTTTTTCTTTAATAATACCATTGAGTTCAAGAGGTAATACTGTGAGCCACCCTCAAAGCTGTGTCTCTTTTTTAGAGAGCTGGAACTAGAGAGCTTCATAACTTCTAGGGTGTATCTTACTTGGCAATAACAGACTGGTTATTTACTTGTTGGTATTTTGGTGGCACTCCAAGATACCTTAACAGGCTGGGTATTTTTCTCTCCTCTCATTGGTAATTAAGCAGAAATAACTACATGCAGCTCCAATTCAGTTATTTGTTTTCAATAGCAGCTACTTTGGTGCAACCCGTCATCCAACAGATGGTTTCATTTGTTTCTAATCTCATGAGCCAATTGAAGTCAGCAGTCATACTTTATTTCTTTCACAGTCATATCTGTGTTCAATCAGCCATGCTGCCAGGCTTAACAGCATTAGTTTGAATGCAAGTCTTCCCTTTTTTTAAACCGTTCAAATCTACAAAGAAATAGTTTTCTTCAATTACTTTCAACTAATGTCAAGCCTTCAAAATGAGAGTTGGAGATGCTTTTATTCTAGTATAGCAAAAGTCATTTACATGCCAAGGGAGGAGGGGGAATTCTTCTACCACCTACTTAATTTGAAAAAAATACAATCTTTTGCAGGTCACTTTAGTCTCATTCGTTACACAGGGCACCGTAAATATATTTTGATAGTTCCGCTGTGCACCGTGGCATATAAACAAGGCCTGCTCACTAGAGCAATGCTTTTAAGTTCAGGTTGGAAGAAAATATAATAAAAAGAATTGCTTAGGAAAAATGAAGGAACTCAACTTATTAAATTTTATTTTTCCAAAACTGAATGAATAACATGGATTTGCATTCTAAATCTCAATCTTTGAGAAACAATGTGATTATTATTTTATTAATGGAGCCACCAATCTGTATCAAGGACCTATAAAAAATCCTTTATTTCACCCTCCAAAAATGAATGAAAGCAAGACAATGCATCTGTAAGTGGAAGCATGAATGTTTCAGTTCAAGAGTTCCTAAGTGGTTTCTTAATTACCTCCTTTGATACATGTGTTTAATTGCAATTTTTCCTTCATATTTGTGATAAATTTACTCTTTAAGATGCCAGTGAAAAGATCCTAGTGGTGGCAGCATAGTCTCTCATGATTTATATACTGTAGTTTTGTCAGTGCTGACCCTTATTTTTCATATGTGGTTGAAACTAGGCAGAAACATAGAAAAAAAACACGGTTATGTCTTTACTGTTAGAAATTTTCCTGTTGGCATTTCATTCCATTTGTTTCTTAGTATTCTTGAGTATTATTTCTTCTGTACTTGAGATAAAATGATTAAAGTGTTTATTTAGAGAATTTACTGTTACATTTCTACTAAAAGTTTCTTGTTCATATTTTGTAAAGGTACTTGGGGTCTGATGCATCTCCCAATAGTGGTATGGTCCTCATGGAGGTTGGCTTACTCAGTGGTTTCTCTGTGTCACCAGATTTCATTCCATTAGACAATACAGTTAAGAAGATGGAAAAGGAAAATGGAAAAGTCAACCTATACTTAGACACTGTAAGTTGCAAATAACAGAGGAATGCTTTTAGAATGATCCTAAGCTTGACTCAACTTAAATTCAGAAAGACCATATGACTGTATTTTTCAACAGCAGCTGTTTACATTGAATGAATTTTAAAAATTGTTCCAATTTTTAAAAGGAGATTGATGGGATAGATACAACTCCATTTGTAAGGGGTTTCTAGACTGCGCCTCTTGCAAAATGATAAAAGCAGACTTTTTAACAGGTCTGTATTTTGGCCAAAATAAGTTTAATGAGCAGTTTTACATACATCTTGATTCCAAGCCTTATAAATAAAGTGGACTTCCAGTGAGCTAGAAGTCCTTATTTTCTCCATGAATCACCATCATCGTGGTTCTCAGGATGTTTTTCTTCTGTTTTTCTAGCTAAATGCAACACAGTTTTGTATGGATATTCCGACTGTAAGAGACTTCAAAGTGGCAAATATTCAAGATGCTTCTGTGAGTGTAGTGGATTACTATGAACCCAGTAAGTGTCATTCATTCCAAATGGATCCTGGTTGTTCAGAAGCTAAAAACGAAGTTTCTTTCATGGGAACAGGACAAATTTCAGTGAAGAAAAGGCAAAATTTACTGAAATTTACATTTTTTTCATCAAACTGCTACTTATTTTCTAACAAATAGCTGTGTTTTCTTGTATACATTTTTGCTGTCCTAATAGATTGGTTTGTCAGAAGGTGCAAATTGTTATAACTTGTCAGCTGGTATAAATTGTTTTCAGAACGGCCCAATGTATTCTCCAAAAGGAACTTCACTGTGGTTCACTTACCAAGCTAATGATTGTCTTTCAAATAGTTTTTCCATCTGTTTCTTGTTTAATCAAAGAGTCCTACACTGCAGAAAAAGCCAGTGTTTTGATTTGTATAGTTATGTAAAAAAGACGTACATGGGAAAAACAGTTTCAAAGGGATTTTTAATTTATTTTTATTTTTAATAGTGTGTGTTTTAGAGAAAAGCAGGAATGTACAAACCCCTCGACCAAAGTGAAAAGGAAAGAAAGATTACAGGCTGTTGAAGATCTTAGGTTTTCTTTATAGTAGACGGCTGTAATATTTTAAGGATTTGGACCTGGTTTGAGATAAGGCATAAAAAAGCTGTATTGACAGTCTTCTTCATTTTGATTTGTTTTAGCGTAAGACAAAAGACAACTCTATAAAGCGTACTTCTTCAGATGGCTAAAAATCACATTTATTCTACTTAGGCTGAGAAGTTTACTCAACTGTAGAAGTTTAAGTTAAAATAGAGAAGCAACAAATGTATCTAAACTATCCAAACCCAGGGATAAGCCACTAGGACCCAAAACAAGTTGGAGCAATTTTTATTTGAGACAAGCTTGTAACACTTAGAATCCGTGGCTGAAACAAATTTCCACACTCTTTCATTTCTGGGAGGAAAACTGTGGACCTAATCTTTTAAGTCCTAATCTTTTAGACAGGCTAATGAACATGTGTATGAAAAGTCCCATATAAATGCATAGGTGTAAATATTGTTATTCGGTTTAAATATATTTAGAATTCATATATTCTCAAAGAATAAATAAATATTCATTTAAATATAAGAATGAACATCCTTAAGGACTAAAATTTATGTAATGTAACCATTGCTGCAATAGAAGGCTTTAACTCTAAGAAAAATATTGCTTCAAATATTATTTTATGAGATTCCACTTCTATTGCTGCATAGCATAGCTGTATTTTTAGTCAGCATGTACGCATATGCCACGAAAGTGATTTCTTCTGAGGGAATTCCATCCTTTTTAATTCAGGAATCTGCTTTTATTTTATTCTATTATTTTCCATCACTCTCATAGATGGTAAACCAAGCTGCGTGAGTATATTTTATGTGATGGTTACAGTCATGTCTGATTTGATTACTTCATATTCACAGCTGAGATGTCTATAAATTATTTATGCTCTGGCATTCATCAAAAAAGGTACAGTTACATCATAGGTATTACAGCTAGCATAGGTGTGAGATCTAGTCAGGATGCTATACAGTGGTGCTAGCAAGACACTCCTTCAGGGTTAATACGTACCACAAGTTGGCACATTCAAATGACAGGGCTGTTCTTTCACCTGACTTTGTTTAGAGCCAGTTGGGTGTTACTGTTAGATAAATGTTAGGCTCCACAGAGATGTCTTTTATTTTTATATTTTTAATCTCTGATGCTTGAAATTGAATATCATTGCATGTAGAAAAAAAAAATATGATTGCAGTGTCCCTCATTGGAATGAAATCCTTCAAACCACAAAACCCATTAAGGGAAAGAAACTTTGCAAAAGCTTGTTCTGCAAGCAATTAGCACGCATTGATATTTTTGAAATGAATACAGCCTTCCAGGCTTCTAGTTCATTTGGCTGCGTGGGAACTCTTCAGAAAACTGGAGGACAAATACACAGCTAGGTGAGATAGGCAGTCCCAAGTTCAGGAAGCTGAAGCTCCCAGACATAATACTGAAAATAAGCTTCGGTTATGAGAAACTTTGATTTTAAGTGACAGAGTCTGTAATGTGCCTGGTACAGTATCTAGAATTCCTTTATCACAGAGGTTGCTGACTAGGTAGGAGAAATTTCCCCTCAAAACATGTGACTAGGCTTTCTGAACTGATTGGGTCTAACTTTTGAGAGGAGTCTATGACTGTATGCCTACCACCTAAGTGTGAGTATTCTCACCTGAGAATATTGCGAATGTTCGAAGCTTTGTGAAAAGAACGAAGATTAATGTCTAGGCTTAAATACTCATGCTGCAAATTATTTTGCAGTGTATGGCTAGGTGTGTGTTAGAATTTAGTGCTTCCTTTAAAAGAGCTCTCTTCGTGAATTTAATCCTGTAAACGTATTTCCTTTCTCAAGATACACTGCTGTAAGATACTATGTTTTTATTTTTTAATTACATGAAACACCTTGAATGTAGCTAATGTTTAAAGGCATAAATATCTTTCTGCAAATGGGACTTCTCCAGAAAACGTAGCATTTCAATAGTTTCATTACAAGTATTTCTGGAAGAATTGGCAGTCTGTGTCAAACTCCTTTAAAACTAAGCTTTGAATTTCCAGCTGTTGGACAGTCCTCAGAAGTTCATTAACTAATGTTAACTAACCTTTCTAAACAGGGAGAAGAGCAGTGAGAAGCTACAATTCAGAAGTAATGCAAAGCATAACCCCTTGTGACTTCTGTGAAAGTGACTGCAACCTTTGCCACCGAGCTGGTTCTCCAGCCCTGCTTCAGCACTCTTCCTTGGCTTCCTTGTTCTGCGTGCTGTTTGTCCTTCATGTAAACTTGATGTGCAGTTGGGTGCTGTAAGAGAAAACATTGCTTCACATCTAATGTTTCCATAAATTATCCAAAGAAAATTTTATGTTCAGATACTAGCCTGCCTTCAGTGATCACAGTGACCTAACTCCTGCTGTGTTCAAGGAGAGCAGGTCTGGCCCATATGGTAAATTTCTGGCTGTGCCAGAAAACTTCTTTAAGTGTCTGCTGGAAATACTTTCCAAGTGTTAGTTTCATATTGAAGTTATTTTCTAAAGAAGCGAAGTTACTGAGAAAGCAGTTTGAGAAAATGCAAACCTAGCTCCCCACTCCGGCTTCCTTTCATCCTAGCTTTCATTTTTGCAAATATATATTTAGAAATATACATTACATTAGTTTACATTGCTCTTCTGAAAAACCACCTCCTTCCCTGGTAAACAGAGCATTGGGAGCTGGGTATCAGAGCTTGCATTGTTGGGTTCTGCAGACATGACACTTAATATTAGTATTTAGCTTCTCTGTATGCTCTCATGGGGAGAAATATAAAAAATAAAAGGAACTGGCTTCAGAGCTGATCCATGAGCCAAAAAGGACTGCGTTCACAAACTGCTGAACATTCCAGAAAATTATCAGTCTTTTTTAAATGATTACAGAGAAGCCAGGTGAATTTTTTGCCAATTTGTGATTAATCATGTTTGAAAATAATGCCTCCGGATGTTTTCATGGATTTTACGCTGCAAGTCTTTCACTGTAAATCATCAAAGAAGGAGTCTGAGACTTTGTTTTTCCACGGTTCTCTTTCCTTGTGAGAATACTTGTGTTCCCTGGCATATTTATGGCCACTGGGATGAAGATTGCCTTGATCCTTGTCTGCTTCAGGAAGTTTTCTGGAAGTGTCACTCTTTAGGGGATCGTTTATGTCTTGCGTAGACAATATACAAGTCTTTTTGACAATATAAGTGCCATAACTCTTCAACAGCTGCTCTGTGCCATGTCAGCTGGTTGACTCTGAGTGCCATGTGTTCGTGTAAGTCCTGTTTTTGTTGATGGAAAGGTTTTTAGGAGTTGTGAGCTCCACATGCATTCTGTTCAGTGAAACACTAAACATATTTGTATGTTTACATACATCCTGGTATATTTAAGTGCCTTGCTGGAGTGGGAGGGAAAAGAAGGATGGTGAAACCTTTTTGGAACAGCAGCCATTTACACCCAAACCTTCTCTTTGTGCACTGGGAGAATTATATGGATGTGGAAATGAGTACATTTGAGAACCCTACCAGTGAGCATCTTCCTGAATGAAGCTCTTCACTGTCTGGCAATCATTTTAACCTTTTTGCAAACTGCCTTTGATATTTAATGCTTACTTCTTTTTAACAAGAAAGCCAATAACATTTCTGCTTATTGAAATGAAGTTAATTATTGTTATGCTGACTATAAGAGTTAGAAATTTTAAGGCTATTTTTCTTTCTTTCATATCTTTCAGAGACGGAGTGTGTATGTGTACACATGTAATTATATGGTAGTCACTTTCCTTGAGCAATTTCTAATTTTTATTCAAATTTTGCTACCGCTTAAAATGTATATTTTTGTATTTTATGCTTATGTGTATTTTTGTTCAGAAAAGGAAATTAGATCATGGTAGCATGGGAAGAGGTCAGAATTTCTTGAACCCTGTGCCTTTTTAATAATGAGTTATAGCTTTTTGACTACAAATCTAGTTTGGGTGTTATTTGTTCTACTTTACCTGTACTTAGAATTTGAAATATTTTTACAAACTTGGAATTCTGTCTCTCTGACAGAGTTACGTTTTTTTTTGTAGTCAGTCTGTGCTTTTCACTTGTCATTGGTGCCCCTTGAGTAGTTGATTAGTGCCTTATGAGTTTCTGTGCTGCTCTGATCCTCTCAAAGTGATATTGTATGTATTGAAATTCAAAGCACTATTTAGTTGATAGAATGCAGATGTAACCCCCTTGTAAGACATGTCCTTGCTTATAGGGATCCAAAGCTAAGTGAAGCCAAGATAGAAAAATGACATGGATTTTTGTCTCAAACTCTTTACTCATAGGATTGAATTGTGTCAAATGTAAGATGTGGAAAACGTTCACATGCTAACCTAGAATATCTTTCACTATGGGTTTCAATTCCTGATGAAGTAGGATAGCAGATAATCTTTTGCCTTTGGGGACAGCAGCCTTGACATCTCATTTGCTTTCCTTTGCTATAATTTCAAGAACACAAAGCTCACATGCTTTCAGTTATGCTATAGGTAGAGCTTCTAAGGCAGACATAGATATCTGATTGATGTTATAATGAAGAGGTTTATTTTTTACCGCAGATGTGCTGGAAATAACCTACTCCTTTGCAGTAGATAGGAGGAATATAATCATAGTTTTATTTTGCACGCAGTCCCATCTTCCTGAATACCCCCTGAAGAAAGAGACTCAAACTGCTCTGCCTAATTTCAGAGAGAGCAACTTTTATTAGTATTACCTTGCATTTGTTTTTGAGACAAACAACATATGTTTTTAAATGACTCTTGGCTGTCTTGTACACCCTAGTAAGAGGCATCAGTCATAATCCACTGCGTCACAGAAATTGTTATTCAGTGAACAAACATCCTTTCTTATTTTGTTTGTTTTCTATAATGTAGTATTTCACTTCAGACATCCAAATCTGCTCTGTAGTAAGCTACTTTAAAGGCACCATGTACAGCATGACTTTAAACAAATGTTTGTGTTAGGTGGCCTTAACTTCCATACACTGCTGCCTTGAAAGATGCCTTTAGTCACTTTGCACTGTGACTATTTTCTTGAGTAAGTTGCAGAGGATTTTGTATTGCATGTTGGCAGTGAATGGGACAGAGGAAAGGCAATATTATGTGGCACAATGACTCAGTGTTTTCCTCTTTGTCGGAGCCTGTGCATAAATGCTCATTATGTGTATTTTTTCCACTCATCTGTACAGTCAGTTCTTGATGTTAGAAATTACTAGGAAATCTTTTAGTAAAAAGTCTTTAGGAAAACATTGAACAAAATCTTTAAAAGCTTTAAAGTGGTGCTAAAAGCAGTCGGGAAATGATATTTCATAATGGAGTCTTCCTATTGCATTGCCTGAACACTTTTTGTGTGGTTGCTCCTTGTTTGAAACCTGAGTACTCTCTGGTACATCCAGTGCTCTTTTCAGCTCTATGTTACCAATGGATAGTCTATGTAGAACCATTAACCTCATATTAAATCATCAAGAAATAATCATTTATTTAAGACTGGCTTTAAAGCAAAACCTTAATGCATTTTAAAGGATCTCTCTCCTCTCTTGACTGCCATCCTCCATCCCACAGGTGAGCTTTTCTGTACAGATGTCTCTGTGTATGTCATCTAGAAGCCTTCTGTGCTGAATGCTGGTACACAACAGGAAGCGCTTGTCCTGTGACAAGTGCTGCGTAATGTGTTCACAGCAACTTCAAGTTTGCCAGCACTGCTCAAATGCCTGGTTTGTTTACCAGCTTGATATCTTTGTGCCCCATTTACTTCTCAAACAAGAGCTTGTGGTTGTGCAAGAGGTTGTGCACATCAGTGGCACACGATAAAGGAGAAAACTAGCCACACCAGTGCAGGAGAAACTGAAGAGTCAGGATCCAACATTACTTGCCTATCTTTGGCTTGAATGTTGCTTGTTAAAATTGGATTTGAGTTTTTAGAATTGCTTTCAGTAAATTTTCAAAATACTGTCCTAACAGTATTTCTCCAAATGTGTTCAGGTCGGTATGAATTTTGACAATACTTGGTTGCAAGCAGATTTATGTAGAAAGCATATGTATGTATATAGATAGCTGTTATATAGGCTCCAGTGTACTACTGTGTGCAATCTATGTGCAATTAAAGCATACAAGATCTTCAAAAAGTAGCCAAACATTGTATGATATTCTGTTTTGTAAAATACAAATCTAGAATTTTTGGAAAGATATATGTGGAAAGCAACTGATGCCTAATGGAATCATTTCTAGATCTCAAACACTAACCAAAAAGGACAAAATCACCCATATTATTCAATTTTAATGGTCAATGATTTTCCTTATAGCTTTTGTTTTTGTGATACAAATCTTTATTCAGTAAACCATCTTTGTGTAAGTACAGAGAATACTTTCAGTTTTATCACCAGTAATTTATAGGTAAAAATTTTATCACTAGTAATTTATAGAAAAAAATAAAACAGCAGTTTTGTGATCAGGCCTTTTGAGTTTGTATTAGATTCTCCTTTACCCTATGTCAAAATAAATTTTACTTCATTATTATTTCTTATTCAGTTTATTGTACTTTTGTGTGCCACTTGAAAATATCATTGCACTAATGCTATTTTATGCAATAAGGTCTGACATCGTGCTGTGTTAGATAAATCCAGTGATCATTTTTCCTAATGGGTAGCTTTTTCTTATCGGATGCATTGGAGCATCATTTTTATATGTGCTATTGTTCAATCACGGGAACTCCAGTGCTAAGATTTCTCTTCAGTTTCGTATGATGCGTTTTGTTGATGTATTTCTTAGTGTTATCCAAAAGCTTCATCAGCCAGCTCAGATTTTGAGGTGTTATATTATAAATGGATTTCTTGTGTTGAATTCTAGTATTGTTAGATTGGGTGGAATATTAATATGATGAAAAATATAAAAATGCTGGCTCAAGGGAAGTGGCATAAATGCAGATGTAACAAAGTAAACTTTAACTGTCCTACTGGCCGTTGCATCTCTTGTTTTTCTATGTCAAGCCTTAAGCAATTTAAACTAAAATTCTTGGCTTCTTGAGACATAGACAGAAATGCACTTTGATCTATATTATGATCATCATACATAATTTCACTTTTGATCAAAACAGAAATAGTTAAAAAAAAAAAAAAAAAAAGGAAAAAAAAAGTAATCCTTCTATAATCTGTTTCGAGTAAATGGAGGTGAAATAGCATGGTTGTGTCCTTTCAATTAACGGAACAAATATTAAGGAATTAAACTGATTTACAGGATTTTGAAAACTTGTCATTGATTTATTTTTCTTCAAATAAAGATTACAATAGTTATTTTTAAATTTTATTAAAGATGAATTTTAATAATAATATGTTCAGTGTTTGGTTGTTGAATAATATGGTTGCTTGTAGGACATGACTGTTTCTGTACTCTGTGGACTGCTGCTCATTCTCAGCACTTCTTAGGTGCTGCCTCACAGGTATTTTAAAGCTTTATGGAGCTGCAGTGGTGGGTTTCCATGGTTGAGCTGCTAAACATGACCTTGCAGAACATTATCTGGGAGTTTTCTGATGAGGAATTTCCACATTCTAAAAACATATTTTACTCGACTGGAAGTCATCTTTAGACTTCTCTCAGTAATTTTTCAACAGTGTTGGGAATTTGGAGAAGTCTCAGTCAACTGGAAACTGGCAAGTGTCCCATTTTTCAAGAAGGGCAAGAAAGAAGACCCTGGCAATTACAGATCATTCTGACATTCACAGTTCAATGCCTGGTAAAATTACAGAGAAGATTATTCTGGGAGTTACTATTCTGAAGAGTATTCTGAAAGACAATGCAGTCATTAGTCACAGCCAACATATGTTTGTGAGGGGAAGCCCTGTTCAACAAACTTAATTTTGTTTTATGACAAGATTAGCCAACTAGTTGACCAGGAGAAGCCAATTAATGTAATATTTTTGGACTTCAGTGAAAGTTTTAGTAATGTCTCTCATTCTATCCTTCTGGAAAAAAATGCCTAGCATACAGCTAGACCAAAATATAATGTGATGGGTGAACAGTTGGCTGAGGAGTCAGGCTCAGAGGGTTACAGTAAATGGGGTTACATCGTGCTGGTGGCTGGTCACTAGTTGGATTCCCCAGGGCTCCATTTTAGAGCCAGTTCTCTTCAATGTTTTCATCCATGACTTGGTGTATCTTCAAGTTCTGCATCTAAGTGAGTTGTGCTAGAGACTAGCCTGGGAGGAGCTGCTCAATCCCTGGAGGCTGGAGAGGCTTTGCACAGAGATCTTGGCAAATTGCAGGGGTGGGCAATCAGCAACTGCATAAAGTTCAACAGGAGGAAGTGCAATCCTGGCTCTATTTACAGACTGGGCAATGAGAGGCTGGAGAGCAGCCCTGCAGAAAAGGATGTGGGGCTTCTGGCTGATGGCAAGTTTAACCTGAGTCAGCAGTGTGCCTGAGCAGCCAGAAGTACACTGGGGTACAACAGACCCAACACTGCCACCACGTGAGGGTAAGGGTTGTTCTGCTCTGCTGTGGCTGTGTAGCCTTATCACGAGCACTGTGTGCAGGTTTGGGTGCCACAGTATGAGAAAACCATCAAACTGTCGGAGAGCATCCAAAGGGGGGCTACAGAATCCAAGGGAATAGCATGGAACCACATAGGGGGAGAGTTACGTGCGGGTTATGGAAAGGTTCTTCAACAGAGGGTGGTGGGTGTGGAACAGGCTGTCTGGAAAGCAGGAACTTGAATTAACTTCAATCCAGTCAGTGGCAATACACGTGTAAATCTCTCCTTTGCTGTGATTTTTCATATGACAGTATGTGTGAGCACTGCTAGGCCTTGTGCTCCTGCGCTCGCTTCTTTGGCCTGTGTGTATCTGGTGTTGTCTCATGCTTTCCTGAGAGAAAGCAGGCTCTTGTGATTTAAGCAGAGCCTGCCCTTTGGCACGTCTGCACAAGTTTATTGCAGAGGTGTCTATCCATATATTGTGGTTCAAATAATGTCCTGTTATGGGGAAATACCAGAATTTATTTTGATAGAACTTCAAATAGCTCAGTTGTAAAGATCAAGAATCCCCTAAATTAAAATTACTGTATCAACTTTGGAAAAAAATCACTTCCAACTTTCCATCTATTTTTTTCTTTTTTTTCTCACCTATAGTATTCCCAGCAGCCCCAGATCTTGCAGCAAAAACCCCAAACCAATGTATATCCAGATGGCAGCACTTGATAAAAGACATGGAGTACTTCAGCCTTGTTTCTTGGTTTTTCCTCCCTTTGTATAACGGCTTAAAGAGCTGCAGGTTTGCGGGGTTATGATTTTTGCTCAGTATGAGAAGATGACACAGCAGTAAAAATACTCTGCCTAACCTTATCACCACGTGTTTTAATTGTGTGTTCTTACCCTTAACTCATAACTTATGCAGATGTTTCTTTAACAAAAGAGAATTTCCCACAATGGAAGATGCTGTCATGGTTTTTCTGCTTTCTAAAAATATATTCCTTGATGCTCAATAGAACACGTGTCTTCACAATACTTTTCTAGAATTCTAGTGCCAAATATCTACCATTTGTTCTTGCTCCCTTTCTGCCTCCTTTCTCCCCATTGCATGATGGCCAATGAGAACTGCAGCAAAGAGGGACTGCTGAATGTGGGGAATGTGCATTTTCTAATGCTGTGAAATGGTGAGTTTCTTTGCGGGCTTTGCTTGCTCTGCAAGTTATCCTTTTTTTTTTCATTTTCCCTTTGATACCTTTCATTTTCAGCTTAATTATCATAACTAGTGTATTGTTGTTATTCCAGTAGCAGAAGATAGTTATGAGGGGGAACACAAATGTGACACTTGAGAGGCTGAGGAGGTAAATCTTCCTGGGCCATCTGATTGATGGAAAGAGAGTCTTCTTAAAAGTGTAAGTAAAGCACTTTTTGAAACATGCCAAAAGAAACTTCATTTATTTACTTATTTTGAACTTTTGCTACAGAGTGAGCCTAAGAAGAATGGTTTCCAAAGTGAAAACGTTTTAGCTCTCAAGCTGAGGGGAGGGGCAAGACATACCTGTAAGGGGAAGAGAGAGTCAGTTAAGGAAAAGTTAAAACTTCATACATCAGAGTTTAAGGTAACCTTGAACTGTGAGAGATGAATAGATTTGGTGTAGGGTAGACTGTTGTGCAGCAAGATTTTCATACTGCTCTTTGGAAGCTTCCTCTGCTGGTTTCTGTCCTGGGTTGGACCTGTTTCTGCTGATATCTACTGTAAAGCAATCCCCGCATCCTTCTGGTGCAAGGACCTCCAGATGGATCTGGTACCTGTTTATCATGCTTTTCTGGGCTTTGAAAGCCTTAAAAAAAACTAGACATTTGCAGTAGAGAAAGAGTTACACAGGCCTGGTAGGTCCTTTGAAGCCCTGGAAGTGGAAGTCACATTGAATCAAGTTTCACAGGAGCCTATCAGATTCCCAGTTTGAAAAACTAGCATGCAGCCTTATTGTATTTGCATGCATCAACAGCCTCAGAGAGACTTCCAGCGCTCCAGAGAGTAGCTTTCAAGTTGACTTTGACAAAATGCAGAAATGGCCTAAAATCAGAAGCAAGAATATAGCTATGTACTCAGGAAAGATGATAGTTGGCTGTACGGATCTAGGCCGAGTGAATGACTAACAAGGTAGATATTCAGCAGAAAAGGAGCCAGGATGCAGAGAGATCAATCCACTGAAAATAGGCCAAACTATTTACTTTTTACAACTTTTGCCAAGTTCTTGCACAAGAAGCAAACACACTGGGTGGTATAAAAAGGAGTGTTGTCTGTAAGGCCATGCTTTCTGCAACCGGAGTGACTGCTGCTGCTTGGGCACAGCTCTCCAATAACAGGGGGCTGCATAGAGAAAAGGCTGCCCGAATGACCAGGGTCCTCAGAGACAAGATATAGGAGGAAGGGGTTAAAGGCAGCCTTTATTTAATCTGCAGAAGAGACGGTGGAAGTTAATATGAGACAAGTTTTCAAATAAGGGGTAGGCTGTTGGAAAGAAGTGTGTGAGCTGTGTTTAATATCCAAGTAATGGTAAAAGTAGAAGAGAGTTTTAAATACCAGCAGGGAGTATTTAGCATGGATGCTAATAAAAAGAATCAAAGGGTCTTGAACACTTAGTTTCTGTAAACAGCTTGTAGGCTCAGAAATAGCATAATGGAAACCTAAAATGTGAAAACTGTTGAAGCTGGATAACTGAGAGAATGCAAAGCTTGATAATGGAGATGTAAAGCAGTAAGTACAAAAGAGCTAGGAACACCCCTAGTGCACTGGGAATCTAACAAAGACTTATCTGAGACAGTGTGGGAGTTCACACTGGAGCTTGTCACACAGGATCCTGCCTGAGGCATGGGCATGGTTTCTCCCTGCCTCTCAAATGATCATTTGTGTGTGTGTCCATAAACCTAACACTGATTCTGCTTCCATAAGGCCCTAGCAATCACTTGAATAAACAATTGTAGAATAGAACAAACTTACTGAGTTACGAAACTTCCTTTGTGTTAATGTTCCTACCAGCAATTTACGCTTAGTTTTTGTCTTGTATTTTATGTATGGTTGTGTTTGGAATCCTGTTTCATTTTCTTCATTTGCCTTCAGTTTAAGTCTCGGTGAAATCCATACAGCTTATTCCTTTCAAGCTGATTACATGCATTGCTTTGCAGTTTTAACTCACATATTTTATGTAGTTTTATGCACAACTGTTTGCCATAATCTCCTATCTGATATGTGAAGGGATTAGTTCACCAAGAAGTGCATCTAGAAGTTCCTCACTTTTATTACAGTCACTGAGAATATAATAAAACTGATTTATTGTTTGAGAAGGCGTATAAGAAAATGGGAATCTCCTGAGTTTATTATAGTGCTATGCAATGTATTTCATTTTTAGAAGAAACCCATGTATTGTTACATTTCCAGACAGTTTAACATCTACAGGATGGTAGATACCTGGAAGCTGATTTTGAAGCCTGACTGGAGGTACCTGCTTGTGTGGTATCCGTAATGAGTCACTGGTATGGAAACTTAATTTTCAGTTCTATCAGTAATTTTTTTTCCTCTCTCTCTTTCCTTTTTTCCTTCTTTCTTTCTTTCTCCCTTTCTCTCTCTCTCTCTCTCTCTCATTTAAGCAAAAAAATACTATATCTTCTATTAACTTTAGGAGTAAATCAAAGCATTATAATTAAGTTTCAGCACTGCTACTACCCCTAAATAAAACAGAGAAGAAGAGACATGCCATCTTCAGGCAAGTTCCTAGAAAGGTGGCTTTGGTACAGCCTGCAAGATAAAACGTAGAAGCAACCAGAGCGGATTGGACTGAATGTAGAGAAACTTTAAGTATAAATACTGGTGTGGACATGCTCTTTTCCTACATGAGGAGTCCTGGAAGTGTCAAAGATGTGTTTATAGGTGAGACTGAAGTATTGACTTCTTTTTCTGAGCCACGGACAACCTTAAAATACCTATTAGCACTTGCAGAGGAGGTACAGCCAGTAATTCAGCAGCTGCTCTCTCTGCTGTGGTAGCACACCTCTGACTGACACTAGTGAGATGCTCATGTCTTGAGGTCAGCCCAGACTTTAGACACTTAAGGAAGAGAGATTTTTAATATGGCTGGAACAAGGAAAGAGAAATTGTACCCGTAATAAGAGAAATGAATTGATATAAAAAGAAGAGCCTCTTGATCTGATTCCCAACAGCTCCCTACCAGGGATTCTCTGGGGGTGCTTCTAGATCACACTGGTGAGAGAACCATGCTGAATGACATTTTAAGGTAAGAAGATAAACATTTCCTTGTTTGTTTATTTATTTATTTCACATATGAATGTATTTTAAATTGCTGGATCAAGGAATGGGGATAGTAAAACATGCACATGTGGAAATGATGTACTGAGAAAGTTCTGTGGTTTCATATGGAGAAAATTCTAGCTCAGTAGCCAAGTAATTAAGCCAGCAATCTCTCTGTACATTGTATTCTAAGTTCAGTGCAAAAGTATGTAACATGATTTTTCTTTTATTATCTTCAGTTTGATTTCAGGAATGACCATCACCACAGTCATCATTCAAAGGTGAATGAGTTTGCTGAATGTTAAGTGAAAGTCAGTATGATTAACATGTCTTGCTCCCGTGCATGATCACTGTCCTTGGTCAGATGTTTACAGGCAGCTAAGGGCTGTTGTTTACCCCTACTTAGTTTAAATCACATTCTAATTACGTTCAAAATAACAACAATATTAACACAATTTATATTTAACATTAAATAATATTGAAACACTTGTGAGGAATAAGTTTACCACTATTTCATAGTCTGCTTGCTTCATTTAAAATTGAGATGCTACTTTGTTCAGAAATCCTTCCCCACCTACCATGTTTCCAATAAAGAGACCAACCACAGCCTTGAAGATTTTTATGTTAGGATACAGGAAATGCAAACAAAAAATAGTGTGAATTCTTCATGAGGAAGCACTGTGTATGGTCTCAAAATACTTAGGAAGCATGAGACCTTTAACAGTACAATATTCAGAAAAGAAAGCCAAATGGTATCTACTCATCTATGCCTTATTCTCTAGTTTGACTATTTTTCTTCACTTATAATGACTTTATTCTTTTTCCCTTGCAATAATTAAGATTGGGGTAATGTTGTGCCACCTCTGCTTCATCGTTTATCAGTCTCCCAGTCTGTTTTTCTTTTCTTTTTGCATTTAGCAGCATCAGCGAGGTCTATATTTCCTAGCAATACTGAATAATGGGATTTAGTCTTAAGAAAATTCATTATTTTCTCTGAATTCATTTTTAGTATATATTTGTTGAAGATCTGAACTCAAGAACACTGTGAATGTAAATGATTGGCTTAATTTTGGTTGTCTTGAACTACTTACCTTGTCTGATGCAAATCACTTCCTTGTTACTCTGCTTACTCTTTTACATAGGGCACTGCAATCTGCTAATGTCCACCTCCCTCGTAGTGTGGACTTAAATAAAATTCAAACAGCTTGATCCTTTATTTGAGCCTTGACATAGGGCAAGTTCACCTTGTAAATAGCAATGTGACAAACAATAACTGCTACTGGCTGAGATCTCTCAGTGTCCAGCTGCTGTTAGTTCCACTTCTGAAGTGGGTACCATTTCTTGCATCCATGAAAGAGTAAGTGTGAGGCAAAGCAGGGGCTTTGCAATGGCTGCAATGCATCTCTTCCCTTAGTGTAAGGATGATGGGAGCAGGACTAGAGGCAATAACAATCTAGATGGAGGAAAGGAAGTGTGGAGCTTCCTTTCCTTCCACATTGCATAACGATCGTGTGTAGGAGGGAAGAAAATCAGCCTGGTTGAACATGAAGCATGAGGAAGCTAAATGACTGTGGCTGTCAGGTGAGGTCCCGGATGACTGGAGGAAGGGTCACGTCACTCCCATATACAAG